GACAAAGTACCAAAAAATATAGGCTGCAAATAATAATAATAATAATAATAAAATACATTTTAAACACCACCATATCCCAACGCTTTCCAATTGGTAGATATTCATTCATTCATTCATTCATTCATTCATTCATTCATTCATTCATTCATTCATTCATTCATTCAAATCCCTAGCCACAATATGGCTGTAGAGTATGATGCACATCATATATACATATTAAATCTGAAGCATGTTGAATTCATAAAGTAAGGATTATGGTCAGTGAAGTCAATTGCTCATTATATTATAATTTAATAATTTACTGACTCATTTCTTGATGTTTAAACAAAATTGTGTTTACTTTCTGATACATGTGTCTGTGGGTTTTATATGTAGGTAGATCTAGGGCTGGGATGTGCTAACTTCTTCTTCATTGTGTCATTGCTTATTTTATTCACAAATTTGGCAACTCAAGAGGCAAATAATCTTAAAATGTTGGTGGTGTTTCGAGTGTTAGCCTCGAAGATTGTTTGGACAAAAATGAAATGCATACATGATCATACTTTCTCATACCATAGCATACTATACTTTCTCATACCCTTACCGTGATCTAATTTAAAGTAAGTACTCATTTTAGAGGCAGGATGGAGTGGATGGAGAAAAGTTTCAGGAGTGATTTGTGACAAAAGGGTGGCAGTAAAAGTCAAAAGAAATGTTTATAAGACAGTTGTGAGACAAGTTGTATGGTCTGGAGACAGTGGCATTGACAAAAAAAGACAGGAGAAAGAACTGGAAGCAGCAGAAATGAAGATGTTGAGGTTCTCCTTAGGAGTGCTAAGGATGAAAAAGATTAGGAATGAGATCATCAGAGGGACAGCACAGGTTTAACAACTGGGAGATTAAGTTAGAGAGGCCAGACTGAGATGGTTTGGACATGTCCAGAGGAGGGACAGTGGTTAAATTGGTAGAAAACTGTTTGAAATGCAGCTGCAATAATTGCCTGTTCCAACTAGTTAAGGCATTGACAAAGAACATTCAAGGGTGTCCATGAGCATTTGGCAGTAGGATGTTACTTTCTGGTCCTCTGGGTTGAGGGGCTTAATATCTCTGTGGATGTGGCTATACCCCCTATAGATGTCAGCACATTCCATTATATCTAAGACATTTGGAACTCAGATGAATATTTTCTGTCATATTCTTTGAGCTCTTTTGTAGCTTTCCTACTGGTTTTCACATAATGTATATGTTTATTTTAAAGTAAAATGTCAAAGTATTTTTTGAATGTAGCCTTTCTCAGGTGAAAAGATTGCATTGTAACACAATGAACAGTGTTCTACACTTTACTTTTCAGAGGTCATATTTAAGGCTGAGTAATGTACTTAGATTGATGTAACCACCATAATGTCATCCAGTGTAGAATAGACATTTTTATGCTTTGAGTTCAGCAGTTAGTTGTTATCCTATTGAGGTTTTCCAACCAGAAGTGAAAGATAGTTTTAAACAAAAACAATAAAAAAAAAAAATATATGGCTGTTAGTGCCAGCTTTATCTGAATTTTTGTATGGTGCCTCGGGTCAACTGATCAGCTGCTCTTGGAGGTGCTGAAGTCCAAATGGAGGCTCAGAGGGGACAGAGCTTTTCTATAGCCGCTCCAAAATTATGGAACGATCTCCCTCTTCCCATCAGCTGAGCCCTTTCTCTGTTCATTTTTAAAACTCTTTTAAAAATGCATTTCTATTACCTGACTTTTGGCACAGCCTGAAATTTCTTCTACATTACTGTTTTTATTGGTCTTACTGTTTTAAATGTTATTATTCTGTGTTTAAATGTTCTTGGTTTTAAATGTACACCACTGTGGTTGTTTTAAAGGGCTTCATAAATAAAGTAGTACTAGTAGCAGCAGCAGCAGCAGCAACAGCAGTAGTAGTAGAGCATGGACTTTGTTGGTTTTGAACCAGTTTGACATCACTGTCGACGAGGGAGAGGGTCGGCACCGGAGAAGGAGGCATGCCAAAAACACCATCTTAGCACTAACATAACTGGTTTGTTCCACTTTGGAGTAAGCTGTTGGGGAAATAATCAGTTTTGTGTAGTGTGTTTCCTTGACTGATGAAGCCTTCTGGATGGAAGGGGAAACGTTTCAGCACGAAAAACAAACAAACAAACAAACAAACAAAAAAACAAACAAACTCAGAAACAGTCCAGATTACCTTACTGGTAATTGTTGCTAGTAGTAGTAGTAGTGGTGCTAGTGGTGGTGGTAGTAGTAGTAGTGCTTTTTCTAAAAAGGTTGTCACGTCCTCTAAACTGGTTCTTCTCTGTTGAAACATTTATTATTTTATCTAAAACACTTCTACACTCTGAGTAGCTGCAAGCAGACTCAGTTGCAAGCAGACTCAGTTTTACAAGTTGCTTCATTTCATAGCTGATCAACCAGTTTGCTTATTATATATATATGTATGTATATATATATGTATGTATATATAT